TGAATGAAGATGGTCTGGATAGCCCACAGACATACCATAAACATTTCTACGACCCATAATTGGTCTCCTTTAACTAATTTCATAGGGTTTTTTAACATTTTCCACATTTACAAAAATGGAGAAGACGTACAGCAATATACGTATATCGGTACAGTCTTAATGGATTTTTTGCTGTTTTTTTTTTGGTTGTTGTTTGTTCGTTTATCGTTAGGCAACCTGAAGGATATTAAACAGAGCTGGTCCTCATTAGGAGAAGCACGGAAGAAGAAGTACGCTGAGGAATCAGCAGCTCTTAAAGCTGAAGGAAGAACAGAGCATCTTAGCCATAAAATGAGGGAGCTTAAAGTTCAGAAGCACCTTAAGCGTCTCAAGTTTGAGGTTTGTCAAATATGACCTTTAATAATGTGTAAATAAGAATGGCTCTTAGCCATATRTAGTGCTGTGAAAAGATGTTTGTACATTTACATTTTTCTTCTACGCACACTTTTTTGTTACTTAAATTTTGTACATCATCAAACAAATTTATATATCAGACAAAGATAACAAATTTTTTAAATTATTTCATTMATTAATGTAAAAAACTATCAAAACCAACCTGACATCAGTAGTGACTGCTAATAGTGGCTGAAGTCGTTGGTTGTTCCAGTTTGTTTTGCGTAGCTATTTAATGATTTGGGATGATTTGGAAACAGCGTTTTGTATTGACTCTGTTTACGTTGATCCAATAATGATGATCTGAAGCACAATAAAGCCACAACAGAAGAAATCTGTAAGGGCGCAAACATTTTCACGTCACTGTAAGAAATCCACGGTATTTGAATAAAAGTAATAGAAATATCAGCATAACTGTACCCTTTTGATGATAATACTTCAATAAAAAATTGTTCCAGTTATTTTATTTTCATGTATGTTCGATGTTTAATGACTTTCTAATCCTAAACCRTGTTGAAGGTATCCAGTCTTGAGATGCTGGGGGTGGAAACGGCTGTGATGATGTTTGACTGTGAGAAGCCCAACCTGGACGTGGTTGACATAAGCAGTAAAGGAGCTGCTGGTTTTTTGGATTCTACAGACGCCCTGGACAGTTTTGCTTCGCATTTTAAAGGTTTACACGGACAGATTGGCCTGCATGCTTCAAACTTATCTAATACCACAGTGAACTCACTGTTTKCTTTCACTGTGTTTGTAGGAAGCTCCTCACCTGCGTCTGCTGCCAAGGAGCCGGTTGATAACCTGGTGAAAAAAGTGCAGGAGGTATTCAACCAGAAATACAGTAAGAATACATTATAATACTATAATAATATTTTGAAGTCAGCTCTCAGCTTAACTGCAAGTTTTACGTTTTGAAACATTTGTCTCTCATTTTAGACGAAGCAGGGGGTAAAGGGAGGCTACCGTACCAGTCGCTTCAAAAGCAAAGCATTATCATACATGCTTCTGGGCTGCCTCATGGCCTGACCCTGAAAAAGCCATCCTACTATGGAAGGAAACAACTAGAAGACCTCTTAAAGGCTGCAGATCAGATTTCCTTTGAAATAGGTAAGGRCATCAGTTGTTATTGTTTATGTAAGTCATCTGATTTTAAGTTACATTTAAGCATTTATCTYTTTGTTGGGATGTTGAGGGAGATATTTCATGACTAGAAATGTAAAAACAAATGCATAAACATTCTTAGTTAAACGACAAATGAATCACGAACAGAAGAGATGGTTCTGTCCATTATCTGATTAAGAG